TCCAGTACCATGATGAGATGAGATAACGAATGAATGATTGAAAAAATGAAAACTATAGATTTTTTATGCAAACTCTTCGGTATCTTTTGGATTATGATTTTATCACATAAAAAATTATTAACTGACTCTCCTGAGTAAAAGACTTGATTTCATCATTAGACTACACTTCAGGGATTTCTGGCAAATCACAGACATCCATATTTATTGTAAAAAATGTCTGTCACGGCATACAATCACCTACTATATTCTGATAACCTACTTTAATCATAATGTGCTTTGTCATACTCAGTCAGTAGTATTGTTATTTGCAGTAAACTGCAAAATGTGGTCTGCATCAGGTCTGTGGTCAGTCTCTACTCGAAAATGACAACCCAGCTATACAAATTGTCACCAACCACTGAAACTACATGCCAGTTTCTCAGTCAGTATGCTTATACTTCCTTTTCTCCCATAAACTGTGAGCCATGACATTTGCTAAAATGTAAGCTTTCTCTACATCAGACACATGTCCATAAACATTTCCAGGAAGAATGCTTACTATGAAAAAAAAAAATCTACAAAATTCAGCTTCCACACACTTTGTTGTTAAAACAAATTTCAGTTTTAAACTTTATTACAATTATTGGAAGCCTATTTGCTTTATGATCACTTGTGACTTTGACTAATTTAACAACATCACAAATCTTTCATTATTCTTTCAGATATGTTCAAGAAGTACTAAAAAGACATTAAAAATTGTCAGACAGTTTGTATTTTTAGGGATTATCAATGTTTTAATTGGGAACATATTTTAGAAAAAGCTTTAATATTTTTGACAGTTTTGTTTATAAATCTTAAAGTACCTTATTTAAATGAAGTTGAAATAAATTTTAAGTTAACTGGCCATTTCTAACACAAGATTGAGAGCAATTTTGATTGTGAATAAATTTCTGATTCTACATGTAATTTTTAGTGAACACAATCTTCCAAGAGGCAGTCTATTGTTCATGATTATTTTACCACTTGGATAAATGTAAAACAATCCAAAAAGAAATTGTCAGTGATGGGATTCAGATTTTAAGTTGCTGAATGTTTCTATGCATAATCTGGATTGTTGAACGAACAAATCCAGCAAAATGTTTTGATGTTTTGAGTGCTTAAGTAAACAACAGCAGCTATTCCCAGAACTACCAGTCACTGTCTGTTGATTGCACCAGTAAACAACAGTGGCCAATTCTGGAACTAATGGACTTTGCTCGCTATGTGTGGGCATTTTAAGTTCCAGCCAGGCACTATCATTTCTGCAGATTTTATCTGTTAAATCTGGAGTCCATTGGTTCCACGACTGTTAATTCAAGCCCTCATGACATGTTGATGAAGCATCTCTGCATTATTAATGTCTGCTGCATAAACCAATTGATTTAGGTGGCTCCACAGATAAAAATCTTCACACGCTTGCATCTGTCAGATCATTGACTGGTAGGCCCTGTCAAATGATTTCAACCCCATGACACGTTGATGAAACATCTCTGTAAATAAAAAAAATTCAAGTCTTGTTATTTATTTGAATAGAACATACATTATCATTGGCTGGCACAACTACTTTGTTATATATATATATATATATATATATATATATATATATATATATATATATATATTCATACATGTTTCATTAAATAATATAGACAAGTGTTGTCTATTTATTTTATGTAAATTCTTTTCATAACGTCTGATAAGCTTAATAACATTATCATTAAACAAAGAAAGAAAATCACAATATTGATCCATATTTTTAAACCAATCTAAGCTTTGCTTACATAAGCCATTATCAAAAGATGTCAATTACTGTACAATATATTAAGCAATATACGGACAAGACAGTGATGAGATATATATATATATATATATATATATATATATATATATATATATATATATGAATGCAAGTATGAATTGAGTTCTCTTAGCCATTGGTGTATTTCGTATAGAAAATGCTAAAATTTCCCTTTCTTTCTGCCATGCACTGACGGCTTAGGGGTAGGATCTCTGACTGATGTCAAATCGCTTGGGTTTTTATCCCAGCTGGAAGCAATTGGACGTCTAGCCACATTGAAGAGCAAAAGCAGTCTGTCTGTGGATGACATATATATATATATATATATATATATATATATATATATATATAATCGACAAATTGGAAAAAATTTTTTTGTGAGGTGTTTCATCCATTAGGATTTATGAAATCCTAATGGATGAAACACTCACAAAAACCTTTTTCAATTTGTCATACTATTTTTTAAATACTCTTTGCTGATATATAAAATTATATATCATTATATCATTCATATATATATATATATATATATATATATATATATATATATATATATTTGTTTAAAATTTGTTATATTTTTAGGGAAGTGTTCTCAGTCTGACACCAAAACAAGGTAAAATGTTCATATAAACATATGTCCAAAAAGCCATTATTGTATCTCAACACAGCAACACAATTTTTCATGGTAGATGTTAGCCAGTGTATTTTGAACAATATAACTAAAATGTTCTGGAGCCCCATCATGCATGAACCACATGCATCTTTGTGTTAGCAGAGGTACATCCTCTAGCAGGTCTGGAAGTGTGTTTGAAATAAAGTCTCTGTAGACAGTTCCTGTAAGCTGAGCTGGGAGAACATATGGACATACCAGACAGTCACCTACAATTGCAACACACACATTAATCATAAACTGATGTTTGTGTCTAGCTTGTATTGTACCATGGGGATTCTGATCTACCCACAAATGTTGGTTGTGTAAATTTGTTATTCCATCTCTTCTAAATGTTACCTCATCTGTAAACAAGAATGAAGAGACAAACAATGGATAGGCAGTTTGTGCAATAAATCATCATCAAAAGTTCTCCCCTGGCAAGTGATTAGTGGGTGAAAAACCCTGCACACGTTGCAAATGATACGGATACAGGAGCTGCTCTATGTGGCACTATGAGATGTTTGACATGTGCCGATACCTGGATCACCTTCAACATCCTGTAACTGTGTTCTTCGTGGTCAAGTGTACAAGTTGATCTCGGTCTTTCTTGATCCATAGTTTGTGGTGTCATGGATCATGTCTCACCAACGTGGCACTAAACAGCAGCAAAGGTTGGATGACTCAGCTTCCTTTGGTCTGGAAACACAATCTGATACAGCCATGCATCCTCACATCCTTTACCATTCACGGGGTGAAAAAATAAAAAAAAATGTAAAAATCATATCTACCTGTTCATGATATGAATATCCTACCATTATCAAACTCACTACTACACCCATTAATTGTTGAAGTCTGATTAGCCATAAATGTACACAAATGACAAATGTAACCTAGTCTACATGACAACATAGCTCTATCTGCCATAAACTTTTATTAAACTTAATAACTCTAAAATGAAGGATTTACGGACATATGTTTATATGGACTTTTGTTCTTGTTTTGGTGTGAGGAACACCCCCACAAAGTTTGTAAAAGTATATTTGATACATACTATATATATATATATATATATATATATATATATATATATATATATATATATATTACAAGTATAGGATTGGTGTATATGGAATAAATTCCAATAACCAACAAATACTATTCTTTAAAAAGAGTGCTCAATACAGAGTAAAGCATTTATAATTATATATTTGAAAATTGTAACATAAATATGTTATAATATGTGTCTTATCAAGTGATGGTGTTCAACACCATCACTTGATAAGACACCAGAAGTGTTGAAACAAAATGGCTATTTTTGTAGTGAATTTATAACATATTTATGTTCTAATTTTTGAATATATATATATATATATATATATATATATGCCTGATGATTACACACAGGATGTATGTGAAATTATAGTTGGGTCTGACCATTGGCTTAACATCATTTCTTGTTTTTATATATATATATATATATATATATATATATATATATGGGATAATGACATATATATATCAAGAACAGATTTGGAGGAAAGATGTATGACAAAAATACTGTTATGTTTCTAAAATTTTTAATTTTAGAACACTCTTTTGTCTTTATTCATATTGTATTTTTACAGACATATTTTATTTATATCTGAATTTTTACTCACACATGCACACACACACGTGATTGTTTTTTTCTTGCATTTTGGTGTTACTGCTCAAGCAGGTAAAGTAGTTATAGGAGAATGATTTACACAAGTTTTCATTCATCCAATCTGTTTCAACCATTGTGTATGCTATTTTGTTCTGATCTCTGGTGATTGAATAATGATATGAGATACAGATTTATGCAAAGTGAATATAAACAACCATGGTTTGAATTTGAACCTGATTTATAAATAAAGTGTATTTGATTAATTTGATTTGATTGTCTGAAAACCACTTCTTATCAACATGAAGTTTTCAAGAAATATCTGTAATTTCCAGTGTGATCAGATATATGATAACTTGATTTAAGTTTGATATTTATGCATATAAGTCAATTATTTTTAAAAATATAGTTTAGCCTTGGAATTAATAGGGCAGCCTATAAATTTAGTTATTTTGTATTTGATTGATTGCATTGCATACAAATGTCTTGATTCTATAGTAAATATGATTTCTACTCTCTAGTGACTATGCATTGTTTTTTTCCATGTGTAGAGTATTTCACAAAAAATTAAAAAAAAACTTTTGATAAGCATCTCTAAAAATGCTTTTGGATATGATTTAATGAAAATCTGATTAAAATTTAGTTTTATAAACATATTTACAACTTGTCAAGCCGACTTTTAAATATTTGAATCTAAAATTATTTTATTGGCAAAATTTTGTGATAAAATTAACTTTGTCCATACTTTTAGATAACTATATTTCTTGAAATATATTTTTACAAACTGAATAGCTAATCAATTGTTTTTTATCACACTCATTACTTTTAGATTTTTTTTTATTATTTTTGTTAGCAGTTTGTTGACTGAAATCATGTGACTCGGTCTCAAGATGGAGGTTGCAGAAGCTGGGGGAGAAGCGATAACTGACACTGGTTCTTTGTTGAAGAATGGAAAGGCTTCAAAAGCAAAAGAATTGGGTAATCATTGAAGAAAATGTTTTTTTAATTTTATGTCTATATTCATAATATATTACAAACATGTTTTTAGTGATTTTAAATTCTTAGATACCATTTTGAATGAAAAGATTTTAGAAATTATTTACCATAAAAATTGTAAATAGTTTTGCTTCTTCCCTTTAACATGCTTATAAATTAATTATTTTCCTTCTAAAGGGAGATACCATGTTCAGATGAAATTATCTAGGTTCTGAAAAATAAATCAAGCAAACTAGTTTCTTTTTGTTTTTTCCCTTTTGGTATATAAGGATTGTAACCTGATTTTTACAGTGATTTAGAAAATTTGCAGCATTACATCTATTATTGTTATGTTTTGTCAGATAGTTTTTTAATACACTGAGTATATTAAGTTATTTGTCAAGTCACCACATGGACCTCATACAGACAACACTTTCCTCAAAGTATGCACAGTGCCCAAAAGAACCGGTTTTTGGATGACTTCATGGTATCCCCAATTGGTCAAGGAAGTCACAGCTTTAATGGGATTGATCCCAATGCTCCAATCACCACTGGAATCACCTTTACAATTCCTTCCAGCATTCCAAACAATCTTAATCAACTTTTAAATCAGAGCAGTTTGTAATTTTCTCAATTTCCTTGTTTGCTATATTTGTGTCATTTTTGGTATGGCAACTTCAATAATCTGTCTGAAAATTAAAGATGTTGATAGTTGACTTATTGTGAATATAACCGTGAAAAGATTGATTGACAGGAACATTTGCTTTTATTCAAGATAATATACATAAAACTAATTAAACGTATTACCAAGATGAAAATCAAGTTGTAGAATAATACCAGTAACTTTTCATTCTTTACATTTCAGATATTCTGCAAATTAAAAAGGAACCTCTTGAGAATGATTCTCGGGTTACTAGTCATTCAAGTGATCATTCCCCTACAAATCCAAGTATAATTAATAGTGATTCTGTTATTTTCTCTCCTTCCTCATTTCATTTGGTCAATTGTAGCCCATCTACACCATGTACTAGTCTTCCCGAATCTGTTTTTTCCATGTACAACTCTATGGCTGGTATTTTTTATCATGGTTACTACCAGATGGATGATTCACCTCTAAATGTAAGTAAGGAACACAACTTTAAAAATACATATATTCAAAGTTTTTAAAATGTCTGAACACATCAAACTTTAACTAAATCTCATTTTTTGAAAGCTATTCAAGGCCATTATATTCTGTTTATTATTATTTATGCTAAAGTGGAATATTATTGAATTTGGACAGTAATACCTGCTTATTTGAGAAAGGTATTTGTTTATATCCTTTTTTTGGTACAGAGTTGGACTCAATCCTGAAAGGAGGGTCATGATTTTGGCTACTCTTAATCAGTTCAGGGTATATGTCAAACATGGCTTTGTTTTTTTTATTTTCTATTTTTGTTGATCTAAGAGCTTGATTTGTTTAGTCTATACTCAGATCTTTATGCATTCATTTTTGTGTTCATTAGAAAGTTAAAATATTTTTTGGTAAGGTTATTGAAAGAATGATCTCTAAATTAAGAATTTGAATATGTAAATCATTAACTGTAGAAACAAGGGAAAAAAATTGTGAATACAAGCTGATGTTTTTATACATATTTTCTTTGATTATTTTTCCTAATTTTCATAAACTTGATAGTTCAGTCATTTTATTTCATATGAAAATATAATAAATGGTATTGGTTATAATAGTATGTTGTTAGTAGTAACATTACTGTTGAGCTTTCTATTTAGACTAGTATGTTCATCTTGGTGAATATAAATCTCTGACTAGAAATGATGATCATTTCTTATCTCCCAAATTTCCAATAGATTATTTTCTGAAAGGCTCTTTATTTTTTATTTGTAAAGAATTTGAGAATAAAGTGTTGGAACTCAATTATTTTTATCTCGATGTTTATTATAATTTGGGTTAAAGCACAGTGAGCCAACAAAGTGATACTTGGGTAGAAATATATGAAACTGAATATATACATCATGACACCCAATTTGATAAAGGCTTATGAGGCACATACACCACAGCCAAATTTGTACAATATATTGACAGGTTTTGATAAAATCAGCTCATAACCTTGTAGGTGGGGGTCCAGTTAGAAATTTGGTTGGGACAAACCCAGTCTGTACTTAATAAGACAATTTTCTGTATGTCTTCAGTTGGGGTTTCTTCTCAAGTTATTTAGATCTGTCCGTGAATTCAATTTCCACATTTTTCTATTTAGGTCTTTTGTATTTTGATAGTTTCATCCTTTTCCAAAAAAAAAAGTTTTTTCTTTCTGGTTTTTACAACAAAATAACTTCAATTTTTCTGTCTGTGTGGATGGTATAATCCCAGAATGGTGACATCTTCTATTTCCTGATGCCAGTGTTTGATAAACAAAGGTACACAGTGCATCATGAGATATTTATTGTAGAATTAAGATATTGTTTCTTGGTATTTGGTACCTGCATTTTCCACATTATTATGTATGATAAAAACATGGAAATGTTTACTTTAATCCGTCCAATCAATTATGATCATTGGGTTTAAACGTTCTTGTACAGCATCAGGGCATTTATTATTATTATTATTATTGTTATTATTATTATTATTATTATTATTTTTCTTGGTGGTGGTGTTTTTTGTTTTTTGAGCATTTCTGAAACTAAGTAAAGAAATCTTATTTAAAGTTTCAGTCATTATTAATGGATAAAATTAAATCAAACATCAAATAAAAATACTCCTGGCATTTATAGCTTTTTCTTTTATTGTTGCAGCAGGGTCTAGCGATCCTAAATAAAACTGCTTTTAGCACATTTTTTTGAATTTTCAAAACTTGGTTTTGTTTATAATTTAAAACAAATTAAATTTCAAATGTCTTATATAAAAAAAGTATTTTGATTTGTTGGATCTTGTGTGAATGTATTCTGTATATTAAAGTTTGTTTTATTCTGTGGTTATTAAATTTGTGAAAAAAACTTTTTTTTACCATTCTTACAAATTGGGTAAAATATTGTTTTTGAATATAATTTCTGATAATCTATCCAGGCAATACTAAGATTTTTTTTTTGGCAGTTTTCCAGGATCAATTAATAAGTAATTGGTCTTTTTGTTTCAAGTGGTAGTAATCTATACTTTTTATGTTGTTATGTAATTTCAGTTTTCGGAATATTTACTATTTTTGAAAGTAAACCAAATTTATAGAATGAACAAGTTCTTTCAAAGAAAATTGATAATGTTGTGTGCTTTTTCAGCATCTTCTTCTGTGAAATACTTCCCTAACATCCAATGGTAAGACATTTTTCCGCCCCAGTTAGACTTCCATTTAGGGGGGACTGTCCTTCAATTCTTTGTTTACCTATTTCCTGTAAAATTTCTTTGCATCGGGTTTGAAAGATCTTGTTCTGTAATGATCTTTCATACCAGTTGTATTGTTTGCTTTATTTTTCTTTAGTTGATAGGACTTCATTTTCATTCCTGATATTGTATTTTCTTTCGACTCTTCTGCCTTTTCTAGTTCTTACATTTACTCCTCTTGCTAGTTCATGTATTGCTGATAATTCACTTCTAAGGTGTTCAATTTCTTTTTCTATTTTTTTTAATCTTCATGTCTTGAGACTGCCTTTTTTACTTTATGTTCAGTTTATTTGTTTTAAAAATTGCTTCATTGAGATTTATAGTACAGAATCAATTTGTGCTGCATTATAGCTTAATAGTTTTGAGGTTATGCTTCCAATACACTTAATTCATGATTTCAAGACATTAGTTAGATGAAAGAACATCTTTGCCACTAACCTTTCCAACATTTCTAAATTTTCCATTATCTTCACAGTGATTTGGGTAGCTTTTTTTTCATTTCTAGGCTTGTTGCACCCGATTCCGGTTCCTTTTCATGTTTTGTTGGTTCATCTATTCTTGTTCCAATTTTATTTCATTAATTTCAGCCTCTGTCAATTGATTTGTACTTTCTAATTGTTTGCCCAAAGAAAATGTTTGGAAATTTGCAGTCATAAAAGATGGACCATTTTTATTTTATTATTATTAAATAAAGATAAAACCAGTTGGCTATCTAATGGATAAAATTAAATCAAACATCAAATAAAAATACTTATTTGTCAGTCTTGGATTTGTTGGATTTGTGTGAATCCACTAAAGTTTTTTATTCTGTGGTTATTAAATTTAGAAAAAAACTTTTTTTTTTTACCATTTCTTATTGTTTTGCATAAACCTGTTCAGTTTTGCTGATAACATTACTTTTTTTTCTGTTAGATTTCATAATTTAACAAATTTATAGAAACCAAACCTGAAAAGTTTATGTACTGCAACTATTCATAATGGTAAGACATTAGTTAGACGAAGACACCATTGCCACTTTAGTTACCAGTTTGGGAGGTAAAAAGTTATTTTAATTATATGGTTTATAATCTGGTTTGATCAGTTGTTGAACTCAGCCTAAGACATTAGTTAGATGATTTTGTGCTAGCATTTTTTTTTTTAACCTTTAAAGATGATTTCCAAATAAAGATAAAAACAGTTTTCATCTTATTTGTCAGTCAATTTCCTTCTTATTGCAGAAACCTGTTCAGGCAATTTCTTCACAGAACCAAAGGTCAATTTGCATACTATGATTTTACAGGCTGGTTTGATCAGTTTCCCAATGATTTCTGAACACATTTCCCACACAAGTCTGGGATTTTTGTCTCTCCAAGTTAATATTATCAAGTCATCTACTTAACAAGTTGATTATGGTGAGATTTGAACCAACGTCTCTCATGGTTGAAATGTTAATGTTCTAAATACTTGGTAACATACCTCTGTATTTATCTAAATAATGACTAGATTGTGTAAATAAATTGAATAGATTTATCTTATGCCTCTAATTTAGTCAAGAATACATTCCCTTTTTACCTTCTTAACAAGTACCAAATGCATGTCCATATATGAGCTCACATAAACAAAAATATTTGTAAATGTTCAGTTAGTAGCAAATGAGGCTTCTTCATACTAATATTAAAATGTTTGTCCATTTTTGTAGAATATAAAGTTCATCTGTTTAGTGAATAAATTAAAACAATTTCATAAGAGTAAATGTCTAGGTGAATAAATTTATGAATTACTTTGACTTTATTGAGCAAGCATTTGCAGTTTTCATAATACTGTAAAATGGTTTGTTACAGAATAAATTATCTTTGGAGACTCCAGCAGTGTCAAACCGTTTCCCTTCCTCCATGTTGGCTGCTTCCTCACTTTTAAAAATGTGTTACCCAAATAAAAGGGAAAAACCACATGAAATAGATGATGTTCATGAGTGTCGATGGACCAAGTGTATTAAGAAATTTGATAACTTGGATAAACTTGTCAGCCATGTAAATGAGCAGCATGTTAAAGCTGAACAATTCTCTGGTGAATTTAGGTGTGAATGGGATGGATGTCAGCGACTTGGTAAAGGTTTCAATGCCAGGTAAGTGAAGAATGTTTTTATTTATATCATTTGATGATGTTTAAATTGAATACCATATTTGATAGCAGACTAAAGCTGGTAACAATTTTGATAACAGCAAGGATATTAAAGTGGTAATGTTGCCTGGAGTTGAATTGAAAAAAAACTATATTCCCCCCACCTCACCACCACACAAAATTTGCATTTATATTTTTACAGAATTTTTTGTTATTTTTAATGATCATTAAACTGCTGAATTTGATGACATAAAATCCACTTTTTTCTTCCAAATATTAGAATTTCACAAACAAATTTGTAAAAAGTGAAAGAAAAGAAAGGATTTTTTTTTAATGAAAATCTTTCTTGGGTTTTTTTAAGGTGGGATCTGTTTACAATATAACTGTAATGTAAAACTTTGCATTGATTTTTTAGACATTATTTGTCTACAAAAATTTAAGTGGGTGAAATACTGGAAGACCTCGATAGATCTATCTTGATAGAGCTGCCAAAAAAACGAGGTGCATATGAATGCAAACTCCATCAAACAGTCAGCTTAATGAGCCACATAACTAAACTTATTAGGATTTTAATGAATAGGGGCAAGAAGAGTATGACTTTGTTTAAAACATTGGAACAAGAAATGCTATCATAACCAGTAATGCAAATGTTGAAAATTTCATTGATTGCACAAAAGTGTTTGATATGATACAGCATGAAGAGCTACTTGAAATACTAGGACAGCTAGATTTATACAGGAAAAATGTTTGAGTAATTTGTAACCTTTACTGGATATAAACAGCTTGCATGCATATAGAGAACAAGTTTAGTGAATACACAAAATTAGAAAGAAGTATGACAAGGATGTGTTTTCTCACCAGATTTATTTAACCTATACAGCAAAATGATCCTAATGAGGAAAGAAGGCCTAGAAAATTGAACACTTACAGGATATATTGAAGGTAAGAGAAGTAGGGAGTAACAGAAAGTAATCTACTGAAAGTGTTTGAGTAAATGGATAGTGGAACAAGGTCAGAGAGAAATGGTAAAGACTCTTAAAGATATTTATAACAAGAAGTTGTGGAGAGTCATGATCAACCAACTCCTGAAAGGATTTGGCACATAAAAAAAAGGAAGAGAGATAAGGATAATATATCCTTTTTCATAAATTTCAAATTTATTAAATTTAACTTAATTTAATTCCATCAAAAACATTTTTAAGTTTATTCAAAATTTTTATAGTTTCTCTATTTTCTATTTTGTTAAAGATTTTTACAAATTTATTTCTTCACATTTGGGTATACAACTTTTCACTCACATGGGTTCTTGGTTTTTAAATACTTTTTATCATTTAATATTGAAGTGCAAAATAATATATGACATTATATATAGAAAAATTGTTGACAAGTAATAAGAATTCTTTAGTCTTTATGGGTAGAAATTTAAAAAATACACAAAATGGCTATTGTGTAAAAAAAAAAATGTAACATTTTCCAATTTTCATCAAAAGAATCAAAAAGATGAAAGAAACTTGTGCAAATCATGTTGAAAACAAAGAAAAAATATTGTCACATTTTAAATCTTTAAAATGTAGAAAAATAAAAATAAAAAAATGATTTTTTTAATTTTATTTATTGGTGCAGTAGAAAATGAAACTCCATATACTTTTTTCTTTGTAATTACAATGTCTTTTTCAATATGAAGCCATATCTCATGAAAAGATTATGTAAATTACACTGATTTATTTTATATCACTAATTTTACATGTTTACTCAAAAACACATTGATTTCTTTTCTTTCTTAACAGATACAAAATGCTTGTCCATATCCGAACTCACACAAATGAAAAGCCTCATAAATGTTTACTTTGTGGCAAATGCTTTTCCAGGTTGGAAAACCTCAAAATCCACAACAGATCACATACAGGTTGGTTATGATGCTATTAATGTGTTTCACCAAAAAGGAATATGCAAATTGAGATGAATTCAAAGTAAAACAAAACAAATTAAAATTCTTTGTTATTGACACTAATGGCATAAAAAACATAAGAAAATATGAATGGATAAAATTTCGAGGACAAAAGTAAAGAATGTTTAACTAATAATTAAAAATGTAATTTATGATTATATATTATTTAGGTTTTAAGAAAAGTATGAAATTAAATTAAAATTCTATTAAAATATTTAACCATTTTCTATTTAAATATTATTTCCTACAAGTATTATCTTAGCTAGAAAAGGTGATATGTTATAAAAACCTACTTTTTGATCAATCGAATTATTATATTTGATGATTTTTAAAATGACTTTATTCTTTTGACAAATATTTCTTGCTATATTCATTAGTTCTAAATCTACAAAAGGACATGCACAATGTTAGAAAGTAACATCAGTTAGAGTAAAGTAAGTTCTTCTTTCTTTAAGAAAAGTTCTTCGATGTCAAAAGTGTAATATTTTATACAGTGTGCCCGCATCTTAGACGGTTTTAAACAGTGTAATTGGAAAATACTTTTTAAAAAATTAGAAGAAACCTTTAAATATCACTTACCTATTGCTTCACATGAAAGTAAATCATCTGATGTAAGGGAGAAAACTCTAACTTCTGCATGTTTTACTTTTCTGAGTTTTCTCCCTTACATCATTGAAAACTGTAATCGTCAAACAAAAGTCCAGATTTCGGCTGAAACAACTGGTGTTAATTTAGTGCTAATTCTTTTAGAAAAGGCATGAATCCACTTTCTCTCACCAGTCATGGTTAAATAGCAGGGAATGAAAAATGGTTAGGTTAGAGTTTACTCCTTGTGGTTAGTACTATGTAACTCATTGCAACTTGTTGCATGTTATTGGGGAGGAGATGGGCATCACCAAGTAACTCCCATTGTACTGAGAAATATTATGAAGGAGAATTAGTCAGCATGGCACTCCAATTAGGTGAATTCTTTGTAAAATACACACACACACACACATATATATGATGCAATATGTAAATTGTCGCCATTTTATATTTTTAATTTCACGCATGTGTGTTTGTTTTTGATTCTGTACACTGCACAATATAGTAAGGCCAGATAGGCACCGTCTGTGAGAAAAACAGCAAAATGACATAATTCACTCTGACAGAAATTTGGAAACGGCATGCTGTACTATACGAACAGAGTGATGGTGACATTATGCCTCCATTCATCTTCCCACAGGGCCACAGACTCAACATGAAGGCCTACATAAAGTGCCTTGAGGAGTAGTGCTGCCCTAGGTCATGAGGATGGCTGCTGGAAGACCCTGTATCTGGCAACAGAACACTGCACCATGCCACAAATGCAGGTGAAACCAGTCATGGTTACTAGACAATTTCTGCAACCACATCACCCCTTACTCTCCAGACTGCAACCCCCTTGATTATCATGTGTTGGGTACAGTTGAATGAGAGACCAACAAAACTCCTTGTAATACCAAGGATGAACTGAAAGCAAGGATTATGACAGCATTCATCAACTTAAACAAGGAGACTGTCCACAAGATTTGCAGGAGATTCCGAAGTTGTCTGGAGGCCGTGGTTGAAGCCAATGGCGATTTTATTGAATAAATTTAGTCTTTAGTATCTCAAGATATTTTTGTGTAATTTTGGTAAATATATCTGTTAAAATGAGATGTCAGTGTTATTTTCATTTTTGCATAATTTAGACAATAATTTATCCATCACACCCTCTATATAAATCTAATCTTTCTTTTACTATTTTTATTTAATGAAAAGATATGTATATATATGTGTGTGTGTGTGTGTGTATATATATATATATATATATATATATATATATATATATATATATATATATATATAACAAACCCAGTCCAATGAAGTCCTAATGGATCAAACCTGTCTGTGTGTGTGTGTATACACCTATGCACACATACAGAGTTATATATAAATTCTTGTTTGTATTATTCTGTATGTGTACATCAATAAGTGCTTAGCTTAATGATGAAAAAATGCACCTGCATTAGTCAAGAGCAATGCCCCCACCCCTACTGCTTTCCCAGCACATGATACACTCATTTGAATATCAGTGATCACTTCTTCTCACACAATGTAAAAACGGCAAGGATTTTTTTTATTAACTTATAGCATTAATATGACACAACAAATATCTCATTATCTCTTTCACCAAATATGAATTTGTTGTTATACAGTGAAAATTTCAGATCAAATTTCAGCTAATAACTATTTCAGGTTAGACACTTATTTATGCACTCTTATACATGATTTTTTGTTCTTTGATATTATCAGTATTTTTCCTTTAGTCTACACACAAACATTATTATTTGTTGGCAAATGTCTTCTATTTGAATGGGTTCTTCCGTAATTTTAGTTATGTTTATACAAACAATGACGATGTCTTCTCTAAACACCACAACAGCAATCATCATTTTATTTTACTTTTTCTTTCTTGCAGGTGAAAAGCCATATGTTTGTCCTGTAGATGGATGTCATAAAGCATATTCAAACTCTAGTGATCGCTTCAAGCATGTCCGTACGCACCAAGAAGAGAAACCTTACATCTGTAAGATACCTGGATGTAGCAAACGATATACAGACCCCAGTTCCCTACGCAAACATGTACGAACTCATGGACATTACTTTTCCAATAAAGACCTGGTCACTAATAGGAAAATTAAACCTTCCATCCAAGAGCCTCTCTACTGCCACAGTCAAACGTTAGCACTCCCGGATTCATATCTGATATCCTCTCCACAGAACCACTCCCTTACTTCTGTTCAGAACAATTATATGCCATTATCTGGATTTTTTGCTGATCCATTTTTATCATCAGGTATTTTAAATTCCCCAAATATGATCCAGAATTCACAGACTAAAGTTTTAAATTCAGGTCTACCTTCAGTTATACTTAATCATAAAAATGAATTTGATGTGGAAACTGCTGTAATTAGTCATGAAAAATATCAGGACAGTCCACTGGACTTAACTATTTATTCTTCTCAGGCCAAACATAACAACAGTCCTGCTCCTTGTCCTCGGAGCACTTCATCTGCAGTCTTTACATAATGGAAACTGTAGTTTAATAGTTGTAGTCCATGTGGATGCCTGGGTTGTATGAAATGATTTACTCTTTACTAGGATGTCAGTTCACAGACACATTAGTAAATTCTGAAGCTAACAGAAATTTTGAAAAAAAATTCCTTTTTTTACGAAAAGCCATCCTAGATAAATTCTAATTTGAAATATTAAAAAATTCAATTTTTTTATTCATGTGACCATAACTTGCAGCATGAAACCTTTTTGGTAACATATCATAAATTGTAAATGATAATTTTGGATGGGTTTTAGTCAACTGGAATTTGAAAAATCAATTTGTTCAAGCCTTTTTTTATTTGGCTAAAAAAGAATGAATTATTTCACTGTCTTATTGTCAGGCTGTCTACGGGGTTCTTGTAACAAGAATCATCAAACCTGGTTTTGTTGTGGTCACTCTTATAGCTTTTAAGATGACTTGTTGGTCCTCTAAAGGACACTCCAGTACAATCAATTTATGAATTCAAGACCTGCATCAAGTGTCTTACAATCAAGTTATTCTACCTCAGATATAGCATGTCGAAAGTACTGAGTGAGTTATCGCCCTTTTTATGGAATTTGCCAATAAAGTCTGTTATTTGCTAGTGAGGTCTTTTATAAAATTTCAAATAATATTTCATTTTTATTAAAAGGATACATCAGCTGTTCATAATATTTTCTTTATTATTTCATGATTATGATTTACTGTTTTCAGCTGAGATGTTTCAGAACACATACTGAATAATTGATATATGATTTATCATGATTGTCATATCTGGTTTTTCAATTGCACAAATAAAATATGACGTATGATAAAATACAACACAACAAACTTCTTGAAATAAAAGTTTGATCTGCATGAATAGCATATACAGATAATCTACACTCTGTATTGAGAACAAATGGCTTGTATACAAATAGACAATGAATTAAGAATCTAAACAGAAATAGGAATGTGAAAAGGACATATTTTCTCAATGGATTTATATAATTTGTACAGTGAAAGGAATTTAAGAGAATTAGAGGACATACCAAGATATATTATCAATAGATGTAATCTTAACAACATAATGCTACATAGATGACACTGTTCATAGCAGATTCAAAAAGAAAACTAAAAGGACTATTAGACAAGATAGTCAAGGAAAGCAATAAAAAAGAACTTGCCATTAATATAAAGAAAACCAAATGTGTAGTGGTAAGCAAAAGGAACAGTACAAAATGTCAGTTACACATCAGGGATGTCAAAATTAAATAAATGCTGAAATTCAACTACCTGACCACTATAATAACAATGGAAAGAGTGACACATAAATTCAGAGGTGTATAGCAAAAGACACTTTTCAAGACAAAAATAATATTAGAAACAAAGAAACAAGTACTGGTTAGCTATCTGATATCTGATCTGGCAGTGAAAGCTGGAAAATTTAATCATGAATAAAATTTAAAAAAAAAATTTCAGCAACCTGAGATCTATTTCTGCTGATGCATGTTGGGGATATCATGCAACAAATGAGGAAGTTCATTATTGAAATACAAAGAAACTGTTGATCACAATCAATGGAAATCTTTGAGATGCATAGTGAAGAAAAGAGGCTTTGAGAATTTAACACTCTCAGGGCAAAAGAGAGCAAACAACTTATTCAACAAGTTTGTGTAAATGGGTAGCAGAACAAGTGTTCATAAATGAGAAGATATTACCGAGAGCAAAAAAAAATAGCTGTGGAGAGCCTTGATTGCCCATGTCCTAAAAAACGATGCTCTCCTATTTTTTTACAGTTTGGTGAACTGCAGAAATAAACAATTGATAATTTTTAATTAATAATAGGCCCAAAATTTAAGAATAGTGATACTAGCAATCTAGATTTACTAAAAAGAAATGGTAAAGTGATTCCTTGAAATGAAAAGGTGAAAGTTCACAAAGAAAGAAAATAAAATTGTATGCCGAGGTTACTAAGATCTACAGTAAGTTTCAATTTTCTATAGATCACATAACTTGTTATAGTAGAGAGTTTTGTTTTATCATTAGTTATTGTTAATCTCTTGGGCCTCATTTATAAATTAAACTAACCTAATTATGTATGTATGCATAGGAAAAAACATTTCCTTTATTCATTTTAATCAGTGCATTTCATGCTGACACTGGTCACCACTCCTCTTCATCTCACAATTGGGGTTCATGATAACATTCAAGGCAAAGTAGTGCAATGGCTTACCCTGCCCTTCTTTTCAGAGGTGGATTTGTTTTTTAACTTCTAACCTTTGTCTAAAGAGGCAAGACCAATAATGCAGCGGATGATCTGAATTCAGAGTTTCCTCCTCTGAAACTGGTTGCCACACAAGGCTATAGGACCCAGTCTGTTCTGCTAGTTTAAACAGAAAAACATAGTATGTATAAAATTTTGTATTATCTGTTGATTGATTGCTTTGTTTTCTATGGCTTATCAGCCCATTGCAGATTATTTAAAGCCAGAAAATATTTTTACATTATAAGAATTTTTTTTGAGATAATAATTGTTTAGTGATACAAGTCTTACTAATTAACCCATAGCTTGTGGGAGAAGAGGTGGATTCATACCTTTATAAAGGTTATTTTGTGCATAAATGAATACAACAAATCCAACAGGAATTGGAACACCTTTCTGATTAATAATTGTGAACCATTACTCCACCTGTATATCAAAGTTTGCAGCACCTGGTATTCCTAAGCAGTCACCTGTCTAGGTACTGACCAGAACTGGTGTTTCAACATGTGGCTGTAAACCTGTATTATCTGTTCTTTCAGGCATCTGAAGTGATCTTGGAACACAGTCCCTGTTGATAAAGAGCACAGTATATTAAAACTATTTTAAACTAAGAATTACATCCATTATTCATTTTTGACTAGTTTATCTTTCAGTTTATTGTTGCTTATTATAATGAAATTCTCTGCTTCTTTTCCATTCTAAAACTTTTAAGGAATCAATGTGGATTTGAAATAAAAAAAAAGCAGCATTTCAACATGGTGAAATGGTTAGCAAGCTTGTTTTGCTTGATCAATTACAACTGAGTAGTGTTCGATCCTCACTGAATGCTCCATACCTTTGGCCTTGTGCCACATCTAAGCTATGCTTAGAAAATCACTATCTAAGATTTCAATAAAATTTAGAATTAAACTTTGTTGTAGTTATAGATTTAGATGTGATATTGATGTTGATATGGAAAGTGTAATTGGGAAACTGAGTTCAGACTCAAACTGAGTCTATTCACCTTTGCACAAATGCCCTTGGGAAAGACATGAATCCAATTCTTCTCCCCCTGATGTGTGTTAAATAACAACATAATGAGCTTTCTAACATTCACTGGCTGCTAGTCTACAAAAAGTAAACTCTGAATTCACACCCTGGAGAAGGCAACGAGAAACCACTTTGCCATCAAAGAATCTGTGGAGACTTGTGATCAGCTAAAAAGAAAAACCTTGGTTTAATCATTTTAAATAGAAGTGAGGCTAGTGTACTGGTTAATAGCTTAGAGAAATCATTGAGTAGAGTTCAAATTCTGTTCATTACATTCACTTTTACACAAATACTCTTAGGTAATGTATAAATTCACTTCTTCTTCGCTCTCCCCATTAAATAACAAGGCAAACTGGACTCTCTAGCCTGGTAAGAGGAGGACAGCTCTGAATTCAAAACTAGTCTGGCATGGGGCTAGTAATGCCATCATACAAAAAATCTACTTGTTACAGAAACCAACTTCTGGCTTGACATATTCCATCCTGATAAATGCTTGACCCTAGGGGGTCACTCAAAAGTTATTTTCCCAGTCATTGTTTTGTCTTTAACACATTCCATTTCAATAAATGCTTAATCCTCAGGTTTAACCAAAAGTGCATTTCTGGTGCTGTAAACTCATAGTCTCAATTTCAAGCCATTCTCTTATCCTCATTTTATGGTCCTAGTATTTTTTAACTGTTGTTTCTTTATTTTAACCTACCTTTGAGCCATGCTTTAATGAACATTTTTCCTAATTAGGTTAACCCTTTTATTGCTGGAAGTCACTGTTTGCAAATTTTAGCTTCAAACATGGTTGTCACCTTGTTACAATAAGGCTATTTCTGGACTGATTATTCTGTTTTAATAGCATATCAATTCTTGGTTATTTTAGCCTGAAAAATATATGTCCGGTAAACAATCGTTTGGGTCGTTAGTTCCATCACTCTCCAGTCGTGCCTCTAGAATGGAGTCATTTAGTGCTATAATTTGTGCTATATACCAAGTAGGCTAGAATAGTCTCTACTTGTATTTTCTCAGAAAGGTCCTTTAGATTAATCATCTCATCAAATTGTTGACATCTAGGGACAAGATCACTACAATCAGAATATGTTTTACAGTATATGCCTCCTGACATGCTGGTTGATATAAATGTGTCTTATTCTGATTCTTGATAGGATGACTTTTACCTTCTGAGAAATTATGCCATTCTCTTTGAATGGATTTAATTTTGTAAAGTTTGTTGTTTGGGTACTAGTTCCATAACTCTTGCCACTTGTTTAGAATGTATGAATTTATAATTGCTTTGAAGTCTGTATAGGAGATTTCCAAATTTGAAATGTTCAATTTTAGGGATTCATTTGCTACCATTTAAGCTTTTTCATTTCCGCTGTTGCCAACATGGCTAAGTACCTAACAGAAGACAAATATTTTTTTTTCTTGCAGATGAGATTGATCCTGTTTAGTAATATAACTACTAAGGGTTTGATTGT